ACCAGAACAAAAGACTTCATATTCTGTGATTCTACTTGTGTGAAAGTTCTGATAACAGAGAGTAGTTAGTGGTTGTCCATGGCTGGGGGTGGACTTCAGCTGTGAATGACTACTGATAGATATGAGGTTTCTATTTGGGGTGATAAAAATGTTGTTAGATTGTATTATATTGATAGTTGTGCAACTCTGTAAGTATGCTAAACACTATTGAAGTTTACACTTTAAAAGGATGCATTTTATGGTATGTAAATTAGATCTCAATAAAGCTGCTTACAATAAGCATTGGCTTTTCCTTTAATTTAGCCATTTGTCATTTAAGTTAAAGTGACATAATTTATTTTAAATATAAGTCAATATAACAATGATTTTTAAACAAAAGCAGTTATTCTTTATAAGTTTTAAATCAATTTTAATGTGAGTTTCTACCCTGTTATTATGAAAACATATGCATGTATTTAACTCACAATAAATATCTTCAAGGTGATGTGAATAAGAAAATATTACACATTTTTATATATAAAAGTTCATAAACATTTCAGAGAATAAATTGAGAGTTTGAAAATGCTCTCATGAATTGTTCCAGCAAAGTAGCATAGACTATGCAGTGCGCATCTGCTGCTTAAAGGAGTTTGACATGATAAAAGTGTTGCCTGATTATTGTTTACATTTAGTTAAGTTTATCTTATATTGAGCCCATTAAAAATGTGCAATTTTTAAACAAAATTTTAATGAATCTCAGGTGCACAGAATTATAATAACATTTTTCTAAGTATAAAAGAAATATCATTCAGTTTCACTGAAGAAATATGTGTCAAATATGTATATGTAGTATGTATTATGCATATTTATATATATACACACATGAAATATGTATGTGTATATATGTTTACAAACACACACGTGTGTGTGTGTGTGTGTGTGTAGTGTCTTATATGCTTTGTACCTTATATGCAGCATGTATAATTTTAATTTTATCCTGTTAATTCATGTGCCTTTATTAGAGGCAATATGGTAAAGGATAGATTAACCGAACTGAAAATTTGAAGTTTTGCATTTACATTGCAAACATCTGTATGTGATTACCTCAGTCACAGTTTCTCCAAAATTTTATATAGTTTTTTCAGAAAAGAAAATTTATTGATGTATAATTTACATAAAATTTAAGTACACAGTTTCATAAATTTTGATCTATATATTTGTGTGTAAACTGTATCCCAATCATGAGAGAAAACAACCCCAACACCCTTAAAAGTGCCCTCATGCCCCTCTACAACCAATTCCACCCCTCACTCTTGCCCAGACCAGGCAATAGCAATCTGCTTTCCTGACACTATAGATTTGAGCGGTCTTTTCTAGAATTTTACATAAATAGATTCACACACTGTGTAGCCTTTTGTCGCTAGTTTCTATTTCACAACATTATGCTTTTAAGATTCTTTCATGTTATTGGGCATATCAGTAATTTGTTCTTTTTCATTGTATGACTTTACCAAGTTATATTTGTTTAGCCCAAGAATACACTCTATTTTTTCTAAGTGTTTTTGAATTAATTATTCAGTACTGTTGTACTATAATTTTAGTTATAGTATGATATAAGGAGTAAGCAATATTACAAATATGTAGTAATATTGAAGTTGATGCTGCAGTCCATTGGCCACATCTCTCTTCAAAGTCTTTATTTCCCTCACTGCTTGGTGAAGGACCAGAGATGATCTTGATGATCATATTTCTAGGAGTTGTTCTTACACAACTATCTGTACATTGAACTCAGAAAAGTCAGTTTACAATCATTAGGCAGCAGCTAAGATTTGGATTAGAGAAGAAGACTAGAACCAATTTCCAGTGAGTTATGTCCAAGGCTTGAATGAATAAGGTATGATTTCACAAGGGATTTGCCATAATTTTAAGTATCTTTGAACTCCATGCTATCTATAAATAACTAGGCAAGTTTAAGATTTACTAGAACTTCTACCTCCTCACATTGAGAAATTCCTCTAGTCAACTGAAAAAAGACAATTATGTCTGTCTCCATGCTTCTCTGCTCCACTATTTCTCCATGCTCTCATTTTGTATTAGGTTATTGACTTATCAACACTTCTTGGCATTTGTCTGCTTTCCTTTACTCTGTGTTTCAGCTTTCTCATGGCATCTGTGATACTTTCTATTCTTGCCATTCTCCTACAGTCAATTCTGCCATGTGTGACATTTGCATTCCTAAAAATCATGTTATGCAGAATTGTGCAATAAAAACACGTTTATGGAGAAATGAGGCTTATGGTACAACACTGAAAACCTTATCAATGTCACATTAAAATAAAGGCAGAAGACCAGTACAATGGTAGCACAGTTTTACACATGTTAAATGGTTAAGAATTGCATACATACAATGAATCTTTAGCCTTTCTAACAGTGAGTGTTAGAAAGGCTAAAGACTTTCTCATTTATTGCGAGGTGCTGGAAGAAGAAATGGCTGAAATCAGGTGGAAAGTTGTGAAACAGGTGTGGATGGGTAAATTTATACATGGGGAACTGAGTCAGGTTTAGATATTTGAGGAATATGCTTGTGTGGATTCTGAGTATTGCTATGTGGCTTGCCAGGAACAAAATGCACATAGGCAAGCATAAAATGTACATTATGTTGTAATTGTTTTCTAGTATATCTACTGTATTGAAGCAAATTTGTGTTGTTAAACAAGCATTGTAGCAGAACTGACTGTATTTCCTTTGCTTTATCTCTGTACTAGTAGTTATTTCTCCCAAATTGCTGCACTATCTTCACCAAAACACTTCTCTAGTGCAGCTAGCCTGTGAAGCATATATTCTTTTCTTAATTTTTAATTGCCAAATAATAACTGTATCTATTTATAGGGTAACATTTTGTTTTGGTATATGTATGCAATTTGTGATGATTAAATCAAGCTAATTAACCTATCCATCATCCACTTATCATTTTTTGTGGTGAGAACACTTAAAATTTACTCTTTTAGTGATTTTGAAGTATGCACTATTAACTACAGTCACCATACTGTGTAATAGGTCACTAAAACTTATTCCTCCTGTGCAACTGAAACTTTTTACCCTCGGACCAACATCTCTCTTCCTGTATCACAGTTATCTTTTCTCCAACCTCTGGAAACCACCATCCTACTCTCTACTTCTCTGAGTTTGCCTTGTTTATATTCCATATATAAGCAGGATTATACAGTATTTGTCTTTCTCTATCTAGTTTGTTTCATTTAGCATGATGTCCTTTAGGTTCATTTACGTTGTTGCAAATTACATCTTTTTTTTTTTTTTTTGCCTTTTTAAAAGTCGAGTAGTCTTTCAGTGTGTATACATACCACATTCCCTTTATTCATTGTCATCCACTGATGGACACTTTGGTTAATTCTAAATCTTGGCTGTTGTGAATAATGCTGCATTAAACATAGAAGTGCCGGTAGCTCTTCAGCACATTGATTTTTTTTTTTTTTTTTTTGAGTTGGAGTCTCACTCTGTCGCCCAGACTAGAGTGCAACGGCCGCTCCCGGCCACCGCAGCCTCAACCTGCTGGGCTCCGGTGATCCTTCCGCCTCAGCCTTCCAAGTAGCTGGAACTACAGGCGTGCGCTACCACACCAGGCTAATTTTTTTATTTGTTGTAGAGATGAGGTCTCACCAAGTTGCCCAGGTGGGTCTCGAACCCGTGGGCTCAGGCAATTCACTCACCTCAGCCTCCCAAGGCGCAGGATTATAGGCTGAGCCACCGAGCCCGGCTCAACACATTGATTTTAATATTTTAGGTTATATAATCAGAAATGAGATTGCTGGATGATATGATAGTTCTATTTTTTTTGGAGGAAATTTCATACTGTTTTCTATAGTGGCTGTACTAATTTACATTTTCAGTAATAGTGTACAAGAGTTCTCTTTTGGCCACGTTCTTGCCAACACTGACTCTCTTTTGACGTTTTGATAAAAGTCATTCTCACAGGTATAAAGTAGAGAGTAGATAGTGGTTCTCAAAGACTGGGGAAAGGGGATGACTGTGATGAGGGAAGGGGAAAGTTGGTTAGTTGTGGTTTTAATTTTCATTCCCCTGATGATTTATGATATTGAGGATTGTTTTTTATATATCAACTGGTTGTTTATATGTCTTCTTTTGAGAAATGTATATTCAAGTATTTTGCCCATTTCTTAATCTATTTTTCTTTCTCTGGAGTTATTTGAGGTCCTTTTGGGGAAGGGAGTTTATCTGTCGGGCATACTTTGAAAATATATTTTTAGAAAACTCTTGTTTCTAGGCCTTCTTTTTGGAAATTGAAAAAAATAAGTATCAAAATATTTAACCCATTTTAGCCTCCTTCCTGTGGGTTGTGTGCACACATAATTTTTATGCTAAGAGTAATATAGAAATCAAGACTCTTCTATGCTACACATTTGTTCCATCTTGGTCAGATTCACAGCATGAAAAATCTTTGTTAATAAAACAATTAGGTAAGTTCTTTTTCTGAGGGGTATTGAAAAGAAAACTTGCAAATTCACAAAGGATCTTGAACAAAAATTTTAAAAATTACAGTTTCTCTGTCTACCTATTAATTTAAAAATGTGATATTGAATCAATATAATATTGCTTATTAATCATAAATTTGTATATAATTCATAAAATCTGATATTTAATGTGTAGAATGCCACAGTATTTTGTGTTATGTTTTATATCTGTATATATTATGTATATATATACACACATACATATAAAAAACATATTCTATATAATATATACAACATAGGCTAGCTTTCAGTTCAAATGCGTCTGTCACACTATTTGAAATCACTGATCTACCATCATATTTTAATATCAATTGACAGTTTTCTCAGAAACTTAGTTTTTCTGCAAAACTAGTCTTTCTGAAGTTCTTATTTTTCATTGTGAAAGCTATATCTTTTATTCCTTTCAGTTCATGAATTTTAATTTAAACATGAACAAAATCCTAAGTGCCATTTCTTTTTCAATTTCTGCAGCGTTTGTCCAATGGTTCTATAGATTCAACTGATGAAACTAGTCAAATAGTCGAACTACAAGAATTGCTTGAAAAGCAAAACTATGAAATGGCTCAAATGAAAGAACGTTTAGCAGCCCTTTCTTCCCGAGTGGGAGAGGTGGAACAGGAAGCAGAAACAGCAAGAAAAGACCTTATTAAAACAGAAGAAATGAACACCAAATATCAAAGGGACATTAGGGAGGTAAGTGATTCACCTCACTGTCAGTCTTTGATTTCTGAATGCTGCCTCTGTGGAGCTCTTGCCATAATTTCCCCTGATGGCACATACTTTTTACTTTTTCTCAAAAAACCATAGTTTGGGATGCATGTTAGTTATGAAACTTATTTAATAAGGCAAAAGAATTAATAATGTACTTTATTAACCCTTAAAAATATGTATGGATAGAAATTTGTGGTATCAAGTCTCAGTTATAACAAAGATATTCTGAAGCTTTTAATATTATTAAAATTTAAGTATTTAATTTTAAATAACTCTGAAATGGGTGTGAATCATGAATTGCTATACTCTTAGCATATGGGAATACTTAAAAACATTTTGAAAATTTTCCTGGGGCCAAGGGAGGGAAGGGAAAAAAAATAGTCCCATCTCTTATTTTGGTTTTGTGTCTATGATTGTGATTGTACATGTGTGAATATACATATACACGTGTATGTACCATATAACATTTCTTTTTCTATATATTCAGTCCTTGTTAGGCTCAACATTGCTTCGTCTATTTTAAAAGAAGAGTACTTTAAAGTTACTGTAAAAGATTCGAGGAGACATTTTATTTGTAACCTTGCCAAATCATCTTACCTGCTAAGGTGAAAGTTTAGAATCCTCTAACTTTTCATGCACAATTAAAAATAAAATTATTTATATTTGTAGAAATTTTATTTTGTGACATCCCTTTTCCATTCTCATCCACTTTTCAAATCACTTATTTTTATCTTTTAAAATCACTTGTATATAATTAACTAGTTGTTAATGGAGTTGAAACTATTCTGTGTTTTCCTTTTTTCCTGTTCTCTCCTGAGACCATTTGAAAAGCCCTCTTTTTCCTACACTGCCCTATCAAAACTGTTCTCACAAAAGTCAAGATTGGCCTCCCCGTAACTGAATCCAGAGGTCAGTTTTCACTTTCCTAAAGCACTTGATGCACTTACCACTCTTCCCTTTCTGTGGCACTTCTTCACTGACCTAGCAGATATGTACCAGCTAACCTCATCTCAGACTCCTTTTCTGGTTCTACTTCCCACCCCTAACGTTGAAGTGTCTTCCCTTCTCAATCTACCTTTACTTCCCTGGCAAGTCCATGCAATCTTAAGGTTCCAAAAATCATGCATAGTCTTAAGACTCCCAATTTATATCTCTAGCTTATTCTTCTTTCCTGATTTGTTGATACTTACAACTAATTCACTAAGAGATATCTTATAATTTGCATCTTCAAGACCATTTTCTTGATATTTTCTCAACTAACTGGACTCTCATGCAGTTTTTCACCTCTGTTGTTATTGTTGCTCTGTTCAATATCTTAGTGCTGTCCTTGGCACCTTTCTTTCATGCACACACTTTGATTTGATTCAGAAGTAAATCCTGTTTCTCCAACTTCAAAGTGTGAGATAATGGAACTGCTTCTTACAGTCTTCATGATGCTTTCTTGTTCTACACAACATTATCTCTCATCAGATTGTTTCAGTGTCTCTAACTGGTCTTCCTGCTTCTGCCTTCCACTCATCTTGGTCTATACTCAACACAGCAATCTGAGTACCCTGCCTGTAAGTCAGCTCATGTCACTTTTCTGCTAAAGTTTTAAATGACTATCTAGTCTACTTAAAGTAATATCAAAGCCCTTGCAGTGATCAACAAACCACGTACAATGTCTTCTACCACCCTCCTGACATCTTGGAGATTACCTGCTACATTCTCATCCTAGCCCACTCTGCTCAGTTAAGGTGGCTTCTAAGTAAGCTAAATATATTTTGTTGCATTTTCTTTTCCCTCTGCCTTTTTCTCAAATGTTGTCCTCTCAAAAAAGTGTTCCCTGACCTTGCTTTCCTTCTTTTATTTACTTATCCCACAGTACTTATTGTCATCTGACACAATAGATACCTTACTAATTTACTTATTTGTAATATGCCTGCCTTCCCAACCACACATAAAGATCCACAAGGCGGGAATTTTTCTTTTGGGGGGGGGGGAACTTTTTGTTTTGTTCACTGTTTTCTTCTAATCACCCACATAGCCATTGAGCATATAATAGGCACTCAAAAACTCTGTTAAAAGAATGGATATGTATATGTGTTTACAATAAGTAAATTTCAGGTTATCAGAATGTGTACTAAGACAATGCCTGCTAGCTCAAAAAAAAAACAAAGACAGATGAACTATGAAGTGGAAGACTGCTACCACTTCACAGATAATGATGCCACTTTTTACGAATTCATAGTTTGTGGATTCATCTCTCCTCTTCACTCTACCCCACAACCCAAACTCATAGAAGTAATAAAGAAGATTAACCCTTCTTCTGTATCACTGTTAAGAAACTACTGGGATTTCTGGCTATGAAATCATCAGGTCAATTTCTTCATCTTTTGTTCGTTCATTCATTCTGTATTTTTTAATTACCTTGTTTCTAGAAATTTAGCTGTGTTCATTTTAGCACTCACTAACTTTAATCATACTTATCTAATCCAGTGTCACCCTTACAGGCAGGGCCCAGTATCTCCAATTCCCTTTTTCTTGTCACTCATTTAAAAATGACTTCTTGATACTAATAGTCTCTGAATGTGGATGACAAAAAGCCCAGTCATATGGAAAATGATAATCCTCTGATGCCAGGTGGTCTTTTGTTAGGAAGGCATTCTAATGAGTATGGTGTTCTATTTTCACTTGGAATTATTTTTTAATATGTCTATTCTTGTCAGCTCCATCACATCTATGTAGTTACATTTTAGAAGAGTTTCATGAGAAAAAATTCTCTCTCATGATCCGCCTTTGAAGGGAAGTTGCAAACACAAATGTTTTCAGAACCAGGCTGGCAATATAAATGTGTGAAGTGCCAGGTGCAAGACAGTAGGAAGTGATAGAGCTCATAAACCTGTGAAGAGAGCCTATGCTCAGCCTGTTTTTCTGATGTATCACATTTTTTGTATATGAAAACACACAAACATCACTATGAAAGCTAAATAAAATATTTCTGAAAGATTTAAGTCTCAGACCACAGGCTCTTGGTTTGCTATGAAATTCTTAAGAACCAATCATATGTGAAAATGATTAAATTATATGTAATTATATGTTATTTATCTAATTCCTCAAAACTACCCTATAAAGAAAATATTTATTTATTTATTTATTTTTATTTTTATTTTTTTGAGTTGGAGTCTCACTCTGTCGCCCAGACTGGAATGCAGTGGCCGCTCCCGGCCACCGCAGCCTCGACCTGCTGGGCTCCGGCGATCCTTCCACCTCAGCCTTCCAAGTAGCTGGAACTACAGGCATGTGCTACCACGCCCGGCTGATTTTTTGATTTATTGTAGAGATGAGATCTCGCTGCCCAGGCGGTTCTCGAACCCGCGGGCTCAGGCGATCCACTCACCTCAGCCTCCCAAAGGCGCGGGATTACAGGCTGAGCCACCGAGCCCGGCGGAAAATATTTATTTTTCTCATATGAAGACCCTGAGGTTCAGTGAAAGTAAAGGGATTTTCCCAGGGTCTATGCACTGCATTTCTTTCGGCATCAGGGAGACAAAAAATGAGGTTGGCTTCAAAACCTGTGTTTCCTCCACTATAAACTGCTTCCAAAATCAACACAACACAAAAAATTTATTCAGGGATAGCAACTAGTATAAAAATGCAACTGCAATATAACTGCTCACTAAATAATCAATCTTGGTCATTCTTTCCAATAAGCAAAAAGATGTGAGAATCATAATACTTAAAAAAGAAATAACTCTAAAAGCTTTTATTTTTGTGAATAATATATTCTAAGGTTGTGGTCACAAAAAGTATATTGCATTGCAAGTTTCTTTATTATTATTATTATTATTACTATTATTATTATTATTATTATTTTGTTGGGTTTTTAAAAAAATTTTTGTGAGATAGGGTCTCATTCTGTTGCCCAGGCTGGAGTGCAGTGGCTCAAACACAGCTCATAGCAGCCTCAAACTCCTGGGCTCAAGTGATCCTCCTGTCCCAGCCTCCTAAAGCAGCTAGGACTACAGGTGCCCACCACCATTCTCCATTACTTTTCTAAAAAAATTTTTTGTGGAGATGAGAATCTTGTTATATTGTCCAAGCTAGTCTTAAACTCCTGGCTTCAAGCAATCTTTTCACCTCAGCCTCCCAATAGACTGGGATTACAGGTGTGAACCACGGATATTAAGTTTATACATAGAAAAAAAATAAGTTATTTCTTCTTGGTATTCCAATAGCATTGCTAGCACAGTATGATTTATATATTGTACAGACATTAAATGTTTGTTGAATTAATTAAGAGAAAATTAATAAATAGGAAAAACCAACCATACAATTAAAATACAAAATGTATTTTGCTTTGCATGTGAGGACAATTTAATGTATCTAAAACAAATTATATAATTATATTTCATTAATGGTTTCAGAATAATTTTTTGTAATTTTTCTTTGTCATAAAATAAATTTATCCCAAACTTACTTTCATTTGAAATTATCTTTACACAAAATTTCTTAAATTGATTTTGACCTATTAGCATATGTGAGCTGGATTAAACCTAGATCCACCATATATATTAGAAAAATAGACCACCTCATAAAAGCAGCTTAGCATTTCACTTTTTAATCAATAAGTTTACTAATAATATATAGATAACAATAGCACATTAAATACACAGCTATGTAAAGAACTACAATTTTCAGTGAAGTATTTTAATTATATTTTGATCTGTGAATATAAGCAGTTTATCTTTCTAACGTCCTATTAAAAGTTCTTCGAAGTTCACCATGTGATTAAATAGACACATATCAATGTTGTCTTTTCTATTATGTGAAACATACAACTACATTTTTCACTTTACTAGATCTAAGTTACTGTAGATTTATGTTTATTAGATATAACAAAATTCAATGTATACATAAACTTCAGGTCAAGAGATCATTTAATCTTTATTTTTTCTTTTTTTTTTTTGAGTTGGAGTCGCACTCTGTCGCCCAGACTGGAG